AAATCAACCCATGAGCGAACTCATCCAGATGATCTCCCAGGTAACTGAGGAGGTGAGGCAAGGGACTCGCACTTCTAATAGGGAGAAAGATGTGCTCACCCAAGCACTCGGAATCAAGGAGCACCCTGGTCGCACTAGAGGAACCGGTGTTGTTCCTTGGAAACTAGCATTCCCCCAAGAATCTAATACTTACCAGAGCCGCTCGAGGGGTAGAGCGGATCAGGAGGTAGAGTATTTGAGACGACTAAAAGAGATGGAAGAAACAATAGATGCATAGATTGAGGCGACTGTTGAAGCACGAGTCCAGCAAATTTTGCTGTCCAAGGGGTCAGGAGTACCATAAAACCCTACTCCTACTGCCTTTAGCCCACAGTTTAGGGGGTCGCAGCAGCTACGGATCGACCCCGCTCGATGAAGAAGATGCGAATGTGCCTCATTCGGTGGCCGGCATCACTGAACCCATCAATGTCAAGTTGTACATCCATCAGGAATGGACAAAGGACAAGGTGGCACTCGGCCAGACCTAGCCTGCGGGAGACGGGACCGTTAATGGTCGCCCAATTCCACAGGGGTACGTTCGTATCACCATTGACAGAATACTTGATAAGAAGTATAACAAGATACACATTGAGTACCCCGTAGTGGAAGATAGACCGAAACTTGGTCATAACAAGGGCTCTCAAGTGGCCTGGCGCAAGCGCTTCATTAAGCTTGACCATCAATTGTCCTCTGATGATGAGGACGATTGCGAGTTTTTGCCCACCCACGATGATCACTTACCATCTCCCAACAGAGATCACTCCCCTCCTTATTCCTTGCCATCACTCCCGAGAAGATAGAGGTCTCCTTCTATTCCTCCTCGTCCGGCTCCATCTTTATCAGCCCCGAGAAAAGAGACTCCTCCTCCTCCCCCTCCATCTTCATCAGCCCCGGAAAAATAGAATTCTCATCGTCATCCTCCTCCTCCTCTTCCACCTCAGCCCAAAATAAGATCAAGGACATCCTCGCAGTCGCAGAAAAGGTCCTTAGATTCGGTCGCTAATGCTCCCAAAGTGGACCAACAAAAAAGAAAAAGACCGTTCAGTGGCAGCGTTACAAACTTGATGGAAGGAAAATTTATAGCACACATCTCGAAGGAAGATTGTATTAGTTTCTTCAATCTCTGTGCCTCACTGCCTCCGTTTTTGTTGAAGTCCGAATTCGAAAGGCAAACACAGAATCAGTACGCTACAACAAGAGCCGATGAAATACACAATGAAGATTTAAGCAAGATACAGAAGTTCGTCGAAGACAACCCCGAATTAACCATGGAAGAGGCAGCGACCATCTATTATGATGTACAAGGGACGGCAACACCGGCAATGAAGTATGAAAGGGGCAATCTTTTGGTTTCCGATCATGAGTATAAAAATTTGACAACATATATGCGCCAGTTGCATGAATATTACATGGCTCAAACAACAGAGACGGAGAACTTTGGTTTTGAGGTTATTATCCGTTCGCCACATGTTTTTAATTATCCTGAAGAAGAGAAATTCGATGTCGAGTGGGAGTGCTTGTTCCAGCTATACCAAAAACGCTCTCTCGATACACAAATGTTGACGTTGTGGACTATGTAAGTACCCTACATGCACGATATTACAATTAACTACTCTCTCGGGACACAAATTGTTAACTTTTGAGCACTTCCTATAATTTTATGTAGGTGTATAGTAAAATTTTGCATTCTAAAAAGCAAATAGGATAACATAGCCTTTTTGAACCCCTTGCAAGTCAATAAGAAGATATGCCTAGGCCTCCATGGATGTGACGTGGAAGACCTGAAACAGAGATTGATTGTTATTTTCGAGGAATTCAAGATGAAGAACAAAACCCACATACTTCTAGCATACAATTGCGAGTATGTGTTCTCGGCTTTTAATTTTATGATTCTTTTTTGTTTAAGATTATTCGATAATTAGGATTCTATGATATCAGCCACCATTTCATCTTCATTTGTGTTAATCTTGCCAAAAATCTGATCGAGGTGTGGGACTCGAAGAAAAAATCATTTTATCATCTAGATGCACTGGTGGCAATGCTGAATTAGTAAGCGATTATAATAACATATTATTTTCTAATCACACATACCGCTTTCTAACGTTTCTCCTTTTAATGTTTCTCAGTGTCCAAAGAAGACATATCGGTGGGACGTAGGTCCCATTCAAGGTTGTCGAAATAGAGGGGAAGTACCTAAAACAGCCGGCGGAAAACAATGAATGCGGGTTTTATATAATGTGGGTAATGCTTCGCTACATCGACGGGAAATCAGAAGAAGCCGATAAGTTGGTGTGTATAATCCACATTTCATTTATGTATGTTAATCATCCAACAAAATGATTTACTGGTTCCTCTTTAGATATCATCTTTTTTGAACGACAGCGCATGAAATATAACCACAAAAGGCCGTTAGACATAGAGATCGTTGCACTGCAATCGGAGCTGGCAAAATTCATCTTAGCCGAGGTATTGGAAAAAGATGGAGTATTTTTCATTGCACAATCCATGAAGTTCAAGGACCAGTATGGCCCAGAGTGGCTCGCCAGATTATTGTAAGAAGTCCGAGAAGCATTGCACAATCTGTGAAGTCCGAGAACATTTCTTTTTTATTTTGATGGATCGAGATCTTGATAAGAACATTTGAGCTGTAACCGTAACATTTGTAATGTTTAATATTGATAGACCTGTCGTCTACGTAGCGTATATAAAGTGAAACCCGATTCACGAAAAAATATAAATTAAAATAAATTATAAAATAATAAAATGCAAACGTGACATCACTGCCGGTTAGCAACAAACCGGCAGTGATGGCACTGTCGGCTAGAGCCACAAACCGGCAGCGTTGGCTTAGCCATCACTGTCGGTTTTTGCCACAAACCGGCAATGATGTTTACAGCAACACTGCCGGTTCAAACACAAACCGACAGTGTTGGTGGAAATGAACTCTACTGGGTGGTCTTATGAACCAGCAGTGTTGGTGGAACTGAACTCTACGGGTTGTGTAAAGAACCGACAGTGAAGTTGAAGAACACTGCCGGTTTGTAAGAACCGACAGTGATAGCTTACCCTCATCACTACCGGTATGGTTGTGCCGGTTCAAAATCTGACAGTGATGGAGTATTTTGAACTGACAGTGAAGTGCAATTCTGACGTAGTGCTAGACCTATTGAAATATAGACGCCGCCGGTGTGTATCGGCGATGAGCAAGGAGCGATTGTCGTAAAAGATGCTGAGGATGCGCAAGCTGTACTCGCTCTGATAGGATCCCAAGTATGGGATGTTGTTTACTGCAACTAATCTGGAACCCAATCAAGGCGCCGCAGCGGATAGGCTCGGCGTCGTCGTCCGGGATGAGCCCAAACAGGAAGGAGACGTTCACGTTGCCACATAGCACGGGCGGGCAGTCCTCTCCTCCTTGTCCATCTGCTGCCGCCACAGGCATCATCAGTGGTAAGGATAAGGGCACCCACACCGACGAGACTAGGAGGAGCAACAAGGACGGAGCCATAGGAGCATGAGAAGGTTCTCGCTTCTCGACGACGGGAGTAGCTGGACGAAGAGAAGGGTGATCCGCTCTAGAAGAATACATGCATGGCGATCGACCATACGGTAGAGCGAGTCCACGTGCCCTGTATAAGTGTACTATAGACTATAGACTGTAGTCTTTAGCGAGTGGACATTCGCGGAATCGCGGGCCATTCATCGCGCTTGGGAATTTTCGAGTTGCCCGATGGACGGGGCAATGTTGCGACTAGGGTTGTATATCGAGACAGCTCGGCTCGGCTCGTTAATATTATGAAGCATAGGGGTAGCTCAGCTCGGCTCGTTAGCGAGCTCGAGTTGGCTCGTTTAGTTCACGAGCTACTTAAAAAATAGGACACACATATTTATAATGTTCATGCCACAATAATTCCAGAAGGTGACGTCCACCATCATGCAACCCAACATGATTAATACATATCAGGTTCATCAAAAGTATCAACCATGCAATATAGCTGGTCCATCCATGATCCATGCGGTTCCAGCATACTTACTAGTTGCTTGCCACCACAGACTTAAGAAAGTCCACAAATTTAATGTCAGCATCATCATCTTCTCCATGGAAAACAATCCATAAATCAGCATTTAAGTACCACAACAATTATAAAATCAAAATTCATATTAAACAGCTGAAAATAAGGATTACATATCAATGGAATGTTGTTCACTTCTAGGTCAGCATCATCATCTTCTGAATTCATGATCATAGATTGATAGGCCTTAGCTCGTTAAAATAGCGAGCTACACTTCCAGCTCAGCTCGTGAAAAAGTTAAAACGAGTCGAGCTGAACCGAGTCAAGCCGGACACGAGTTGAGCGAGTTGAGGAGGCCCGCGAGTATTTTGTCATGCCCTACTTACGACGACTATCGCGAGTCATCGGCGTCGTGACCGGAACAGAACGCTTGGTCGGTGACGACTACCAGGGGACCTTTTTTTTTTTTTACGAGCAGAGACAAAGGGACCTCTTGTTAACAGACCAAGCCGTCAGAGCGGTAGCACTGGAATGAAAGTTGTGCCAGCCTGCACTCGTCGGGGTGCCGCGTGCACGCAGCACGCGTTGCCGTCTCCAACCATCGTCGGCCACGCAACCACCGTCGTCGTCGTGCGCTACCGTCGTCATGACATGACTGCACAAACCGCAGTTCAACATAATAACGTACGTACGGCTACGTGATGCTCAGGCAAGAAAAGAAATTTGGTGGAGACAGTACAATCAAGCCGCCACGAAACCTATCGCCGACTGATGACACATGTTCAGGCATAAGCATAAAATATTTAGGTATACTCACCGCAAATATACCAGTCCTGGCCGTCGGAGCACTGGCACACCAGCAGATCCACGCCGGCATCGAGTCGTCGACCCGGCACTTGCCGCCGGTCTGCGCGCAAGGAGAGCAGTCCTGAGCCGTGTAGCTGTGCTCTAGGAGATAAACCCACCCTTCATTAGGCGGTCGTAGTAGGCCGCCACCTCCCGCTGGTATCCCAGCACCGGCATCAATGACGACACTATGCAGTTCCCCGGCAGCGGCTTCAGAATGTTGTCGGGCTTGTACTTCCCAGCAAGCCAGACGAACGAGCTGGTCCGCGCCTGCCCTTGGCAATCTCTGAGGAAGAACAGTTCCTCGTTTTTGTCGCTAATCTTGAACGGCTTACGGCCCAATGCCTAGGTCGGAGGAGGCATTGACAAAATTGTCGACGTCGCAAGTGTCATACGACGGGTCCACTTCTATGAAGGAGCTGTTCTCGTAGAAGATATCCATGACCTGGTAATTCCAGTAGGAGTTCTTCAGGGATACGTTGCCCTTGTCGCACGCGGCCTCGAAAGCCCGGTAGCCGCACTCCGGCGGATGAGTGCCGGCGAGCCAGAACGGGTAGGCGATGGTGAGGTTCTCGCACAACGCTGATGCGCAGGGCACCGTCGACATGTTTACGGCGGCGACAGCGGGGGGAGTGGCTAGCAGAGCGAGGAGCAGTAGCATGGTTGGGCAGAGCAGGCCAGCGGCGGGAACAGGACATGCGTGCATCTTTGCGTTGCGACTTGCACACAAGAGAAAACACTACGGGGTGAGGGAGCAGTCGTAGTTTGAGAGCAGTCGTAGTTTGAGAACAACTGTCACAGAGGAAGGAGGTGGTGCATTGCACTGGAAGGCGCGAGGATGTTGACGATGGCGCAGACCCGCGGTCTTCGTCTCCTAGTTCACCGCCACTACAGTTATTAGTCTGCAATTCTGCATGGCATCTTCCGGAACGTCCTCCTTCTTCCAGCCTGCTTGTACGCGTACATCATAGATGAAGTGACTTGTGGACCCGTCAGAGGCCCAGAACAGAAGCACAGGAACGGAAGGTGTGCCAGCTTGCCTACACGCGTTGACGCAGCGCAGCTCGCACCGTCGGCGACTCCAAACGGAACCCGTTACATATCGCATGCATGGAGACACCGTGGCGCGTGAGCAGTGAGCACAATGGCGCAAAGGCCGGGATGCCTCCGCAGTACAACATGAACGGGTACATGATGTTCAAGACCCTCGCGTCGCGTCTTGCCGATTTGCTGGTTCCGTAGGATGTGGCCTGTGGCTCGGTATGTCTAAGTGAAGTGCAACAATGGAGCTAATAATACGACTCAGCACAAGACTTCCAAGGTCATGGACGGATGCAAAAGGAGTTTTGAACAGCTTCAGTTATTTTCTTATTGTCTGTGCGAATGCTGATCAGTGCACTGATGGAAATGACATGCTGGTCAAGTGGCAGCATTTAAGTGTCGTGTTTATTCGTCTTTGAAATAAAAACGAAGTGTAGTGTTCGTCGAGCACCCACAATTCCACAAACACATGGACAATTCCAGACTCCTCTGTTCAGCAAGCGGAGATCGGACTAGCTCGATGCGGCAGCGCCACACTCCCTATCGCCTGGGTGATCTGTCCAACTTTCTGAAAACAACACCTTTGCTAGGCACTCAAGAAGTTATGTCCACCGGAACGTGCGGAGCGCAGACCATTTCGACAATGCGTGGAAAATTTGGACAGATTGGGCCATCACAGGCCCTCAGCCCTCAGGCCTACGAGTAGCATCGAGCTGCTGTTGTTGCTGTCTCACCGCGGAGATGTACAGAAGCTGTTGTGATTGTGGCTGCTGCCATCTTCATACAGTAACTCCATCGATCATTGTCTAGAGTTGTCTACAACATGTAATTCATTGATGAATACTTATTCAGTTACTTGATTCCAGTGCAGATGCCGATGCGGTTAGTGTTTTGGGGGAGATTACGGGCGATGGACGACTATAGGGCCATAGGGGGGTGGTGCATAAGTGAAAGAAAGAGTGACAAACTGCTATTAAGAGGATATCAAGGGTTTGCTTGGTTTACAGGCAAGAGATATTTGCCTTGCCTTGCCCCTCTGGCACAAGAAACAAGAAGCTTGCCAAGCCAGGAGAACCATTTTGGCTCACTCATGGAAGCAAGGTAAAAGGTTGCTCACACAGGCCCCAAGATAACCTTGCTTGGTATCCAGACAGCCACTTTGATCTATATCCTTGCTTTTCAAGGCTATATAGTGATGAGCAAGAAAACCAAGGAGCCCCCAAATATCTTATGCATACTTCGACAATACGACTTTACCTCTTAAAGCCTTAATCTTTATCACTTCAAATGAAAGATATCATAGTAGACCAGTAGCCTTTTGTTTCAAAACAAATATCATATTAGTAGACCAGCTGCCTATTCTATTAATATAAATTCGGCAACCTCTTGCCGCCTTTCGAAAAAAAGCCTCTGTCGTAGAGATATCTACACAAGTTTAATGCCAAATTCCACTAGTAGGTAACCGTTTCATAGAGTTGGTAACCGTTGTAAGATTTTTGAATGCACAACGCTTATCTCCTTCATCTTTAGCAGTTCACTAGAAACTTGTGTTTTCGTACCACTAATAATCATGCTCGAACTTTCTGCATTCAAACTGCAAGCTGGATCGTTGCTGCAAAAGAATGAAAAAAAATATTGTTATATCAACATTGTTGTAAATGATACTGAATGATTGTTGAAATACATAAGTGTCTCGGGTAATATCTTACAATATTTGACTGAAGTTTTGCCTTGGTGGCATGTCCAGTTCATCTAAACCTCTCTCGAACATTTCCAAGACCTTTCCTATGGTAGGACGATGCATTGGTAATATTTGAATGCACCATGGGCCAATCACACTCATTTTTCTGGCGATTTCTTCGTTTTCACGTGTTACTTCACATGTCTTTAATCCATCCTCTTGACCAAAGTGGTCATAAATCCAATGTGGAAAATACTTTTCACTTGACTCTTGAGCCACTGATTTAACATTTTTTCGGCCTCCAACCATCTCTAGCAACATCATTCCATAACTATAAACATCTGATTTTGTTGAAACAACTCCGAAGGTTCGAGAGTGCACTTCAGGAGCTATAAACCCAGGTGTACCTCTAGCACCAGTCATAGAAAGCATGCTCTCCTTGGTATGACATAACTTGGCCAAACCAAAATCAGCAATCTTTGGGTGCAAGTTCTGATCCAGAAGGATATTTTGAGGCTTGATATCAAAATGGACTATGCGTGTATTACAACTATGGTGCAAGTATTCCAACCCTCGAGCAATCCCAATTGCTATGGTATAGAGCTTGTCCCATCCTAAAACTGCCTTGGGATTCTCTGAGTATATGTACTTATCCAAAGAACCATTTGGCATATACTCATATATTAGGGCCCGCTTTGAGCCTTCCAAACAAAACCCAAATAAGCTAACAATATTAATGTGTGATGTCCTGCCAATACTTATAACCTCGTTAACAAACTCATCGCCATCACCTTTGGAGTCATGCAGGAATTTCACCGCAACTAGACGACTGTCATCTAACCTTCCTTTGAAAACCATGCCATAACCACCTTCCCCAAGCTTATTATTAAGGGAGGATGTTATCTTTGTTACTTCTGAGTACTTGTATCTTTTTGGAGCAAGTGATCCATGTGCTAATATTAGGGCCTCAATGTTCTCTTCTATGGTGTTGCTAGTCTTCTTGCATAGGAAAAACATTAGTTTTTGCCTATGCCATACCAACACATATATACATGGTAGGAGCAAGCTTACAGCTACTGAAAGCGAAACTGAAATTAAAGTAGATGTTATGATGTTAGCATTCAGATTTAGAGGCCATCGACAATTTTTATTGTAAATATTGAACATGGTATATAATGATAATATATTGCTCCAAATCATATCGTTTAAATTGTGGATTGATTGTTCTAATTGTTCATTTTAGTATCTATGTAAGTTTTGTAATAGTTGTTCTATGCTCTTCCAAGCTCCAATAACTAAAACAAAAAATAAGTTATTACAGTAAACAACTATATATAACTACTGAAATTTGGACTATTAGATATGAAACAATGTCAAAAGTAGCATACCTATTATTGCTATCTTCATGCCAGTCCCATTGATACCTAAAATAGTATGGAAAATTAATTCTAAAATGAAATAATAAGCAGTAGTATAATGATTGCTTTTGGGGGGAAAAAGGAAGGAATGGTATTCAACGATTCGATATTTTGCATATGGCATGGCGATCGACCATACACTGCGGTAAAGCGAGTCCGCGTGCCCTGTAGAAGTGTATAGACTGTGGACAGTCACGGGCCATTCATCGGGCTTGGGAATTTCCGAGTTGCCCGATGGACGGGGCAATATTGCGACGACTGTCGCGAGTCATTGGCGTGGTGACCGGAACAGAATGCTTGGGCTTGGCCGGTGACGACTAACATGGGACCTTTTTTTTTAAAGAGGAGAGACAAGGGGACTTGTTAACAGAAGCCGTCAGACCGGAAGCACTGGATTGATTGTTTTATAATAAGGGAGGATGTTAATACCATAACCACCTTCCCCAAGCACTGTAATATAAAACTATATTTTGCTCCAAATCCTATAGTTTTATATTGAAAGCTATAAATTTTGGGTTGATTGTTCGAATTTTTTCATTATAGTATATGTGTGCAAAATATATATATGTAAAAAATTTTTATAGTAGTTCTTCTAAGCTCTTCCAAGTTCCAATAACTGAAACTAAAAATTAACTTATTGCTTTAAATAACTATATATAACTACTGTAATTTGAATTATCAGTTACGGAGTATGAAAGAATGTAAAAAAAACAAGAGCTTTCTGAGTGATGCCGTTCTATTTTATCCCATTTGACACAAAATGACTCCAAACAACTTCTGAAGCTGGTGGAGAAACCACAGCAAACAGAGCCAATATGTCACTAGTAGTAGTAGACCATATTTGCCATCCAAATGGCTACCGCCGAATTGACATTTGAATCATGTTACTGGTAAAAGAATGCAACTATGCTAACTATGCCGGTTAAATGAGCTCAAGTTTGACTAAGTTTATAGTAAATAACATTTGCATTTATATCTTTAAATAAATTTATTATAAAAATATATTATATGACTAATCTAATGGTACTTATTTTGTATAAAAAATGTTTGTACTTTTTATATAAAGTTAGTCGAAGTTCAGACTATCTGACTCATCAAAATCCGAGAATTATTCTTTTGTGGCCGGAGGTAGTACTGTGGAATAGAACGAGGGACGGCAGGACGGGATAGATATTATGATGGCGACTTTGACAAGGGGAGAAAGGACGGTGGCGATCAGGTTCGTAGTCCACGCGCTCCAAGCGTTTGATTAGTCTCGTTTTCCTTTTCCTCTCTTTCTAAATTTCTTTACGCATGTTTCGATAAGCCCCCTATCAAATCAGTGGATAATAGTGTGACAGCATTAGCAATATGTGTAACCAATTGATCCTAGATATTCTGCCACATAAGATGCTAAAAGGTCCCGGTAGTGCAGGAAATGGACCCAATATAATAGATAGAAAACGCAGCTTCAGGGTTGATACTCACCAATTCCGACTACCTTTTTGGTGTTGCTTCCTCCTGCATAAGAATAGTAACTATGAATAACTTGCTGATTTAAATGTAATATTTTTCAGAATAAATTAGTCTGTAGCCTTTCATGGCTGGCAGTTAAGATATGGCAGTATATATGAGCAGAATAAAGCCTGATAGAAGATGAAAAGAAACCGTCCAGGGAAAAAGAGATGTATGAATAAACACAGAGATGTTTGTCAGCACTTGATGTCTAGCAATAGTGACCATTTTGCATCTCTGTGTAGCATGACAACATAAGCCTGTATGGCTATACGACATAGATGTACTTACAGATATTAAATAGGTATATATATTCATGATAAACCTGCAAATTTGGTGCCTACAGCCAAATTTTTTCCTACTAAATATTCATGTGATCCCATCACCTTTCCCCCCATTCGGCCATTCCATATAGAATGGCCAATCACCAGAGCAGGATATAAATCGATGCATTGAAATCTCTCTATGATCTCCAGAAACATAATGCAAAAGCATAAGCCTGGCTATGTTACAACTTAAATCTTAACAAAGTGTCTAGGTGTAAATGATTATGTTAAGAAATTGAAGGTGTAAAGCTGAAAAAGGCAGCACAAGAAAATACAGCAACTGCTGGATTTCAGATTCTCAATTGAAGGTGGTACCATAACTGGTGTTGACAGTAAGTGATGAGTAATAATGGACTAATGATCCTATATATTACTAAAACGGGGATCACCTAGCTAGGAGGAGCTAGATAACTTTGCACACAGAATGAAGGGAGGTTATGCATAATTAATCACTATAAATATAGTGCATAGATACCAGGATGCATTAGTTCATTAGCTGTAAGTTCATCATAGTATTTGGTCTCTTTTTGGTCTGTATAACAAACAGAGCCATGTATTCTAGGAGCAAACTCCAGCAGATCCCTTAAATAGGCACTGAATCCAAAATTTAAAGGCTTAGATAAAAACACAGTTCCAACGTGGTCTCGACTTAGGCCTCCACAGTCTCAGCTATGTATCTCTCCGCCCTATTTGGAACCGCTCTCCCTCGCGCCGGCACACTGCCGTCCAATGCTCCACCCAACATGCCGTGGGCCAACGCTCCAACTTTCCACCACTCCTCCCCCGACAGCCCTACCTTCGTTCGGCCTCCTCTGCCGGTGTGGGCCACCTCCCCTGGCTCTTCCCTAAGCGGCTCTGCCTTCGCCTAGTCTCCTCCCGACATCTCCCTGGAGGCTCCGCCACCGTCCGGCGTCATCGCCTCTTTGCTCGGGCAATGGCGGGCTCCTCCCGGTGGTCCCCAGCCTCCCCCCCCAGTGGGAACCGTCGCCCGACTCCTCCCCAATGGCTCCGCCTTCGCCCGGTTGCATCTTGGCCGATGGCTCCGCCTCCGCCCGGCCAAATTCGGCACCCGACCTCTTGGCAGCACGTTGGCCGCATAGCTCAGTCAATGAGAGCGAGGAAGAGAGAAAAATAGGGAATGACGAGTGTGTCCATTATATCAGTTTCTGTTGGAATGGATTTGAGAGCCCTGATTTGAAGGCTCCTCTTAAAGTGGGATAAGAAACCAAACCCAAGTACAATGAAGCCCCCAAATCTAAAGTAAGCACCTTGATTTGAGGGCTCTTGCTGGAGTGACTTTAATGCTCAACTTTATGGAGCAAACTAAATGGAGTTAATGAAATTGTGTGTGTGTGTGAGAGAGAGAGAGAGAGCACTCAAATTCTGAAAAGTCGACCAGTAACACCTTGATTGTTAACACCACACCCACACATTGAAATAATGAGCTTTTCAGGTTAGTGGAACCCACAGTATCTGCAGCCTAGTCAAAGTCTCCCATTAATGCCACGTGAACAGAGCTGAGTGAGACAGGTCCCCTGGTTTGCATAGCCTGGAGAGTTGCACCATGACACCATCAGACATGATCTGATGGCTTGCAATTTTGCATCATCGCATGATAGATGACAGACCTAGGAAATTCTTCACTACGGAATCATGCTAGTTAAGAACCGTCACTTGGCTTTGGCTAGATAATCTACAGTCTCCCAAAGAAAGCTATCAACTGACCTATATATGGAGTGTAACGTAATGGGAAATAACTTGTACTCACCGCAGTTCACTGGGTAATGTATGCCGTCGGGGCAGTTGCAGGAGAAACCCAGGCCGTTGTCAGGGTACATGCATTCCCCGCCGCTTGCAGTGCACTTGGAGCAATCCCCTGAGACCACCGTCCACTCCAGCAGAAACCCACTCCTCAAGCTCGCGACGTAGTTGTGCCTGCTGTCCTGGTCTGTCGCCGGGAGAGTCGGCACGACAGCGACAAGGCAGCCCGGCGGCGGTGTTGCCCCGTGCTCTCTGCCGCCGTAGCTTCTTCCGAACCGCCATCTAAACCCGACGAACGAGTAGTTGTCACAAGGCATGCGCTGAAACCCAGGCACAGCCTCCGGCACCGGCTCGTCGCACCGGGAGAGGAACCGCAGCTCGCTGTTTGCTCTGCTGATGGCGAACGCCGGCATGAACCCCATGCTGAGCGAGAGGTTGAAGCACGGCGTCGGGCAGCCGACGGCGAGGGGCAGGTTCTCGTCCACCACATGCAGGGAGCTGTTCTGGTAGAAGATGCTCACCACCCGGTACGCCTGGAACATGGAGCGGCTCAGGAACGCGCCGCTGCTGTTGCACTTGAGCTGGAAGGACGGCGACCCGCACGGCGGCCGCCCTGGCTCCTCCAGCCAGAATGGGTACGAGATGTTCAGGCTCCCGCATGCCTTGGGCGAGCTGCAGCCTTGTTGTTCAGGCGGCTCTGTTGTTTGGGAAGCAGCAGCTATTGTTGGTAGCTGTAGCAAGAAGGCTACAGAAGTGTGGAGAACAAGTGATGGCAAGAGCACCGCCGTCATGTGTGCGTTGCTAGTCAGTGTCGGGAGAGAATCGAAGAGATTGATCATGGATGGAATGGGCCGGGGTCTCCTGGCTATTTCATGGAGGCCTGGATCACCGTAGAGCGTGTTTAGTTCCACGAAGTTGGAATTTAGGGGTTATTGTAGCACTTTCATTTTTATTTGGTAATTAGTGTTTAATCGTGGATTAATTAGACTCAAAACGTTCGTCTCATAATTTCCTACCAAACTGTGCAATTAGTGCTGGATGGTGTACTTTTTGAAAGCGGTCAGAGTTTAAGCGACTAGTCTTTGTTGTTGCCGTGCTGGATGGTGTGTTGAAGCGGTCAGATAAGTCTTCGCGTTCGTCTCTAGCACTGATCAGTAGTAGTCAGTCCAATTTTTTGTCGTCTCTGTAGTTTCAATTCAATATTACAATATCGACCGTTCAGGAAAAGACAAAAAAAAATTGCCTACCCTGCGCGTACCCGAGAGTTCTGCACGCTTCCTAAAACCTACGCTCTCTCCGTCCCAAGTATCATTTTGGCGGCGTTCGGCTGGTCTGGAAATTTCAGACCAGCCGGCTGGTCTGAAAATTTCCTAAAACCTCCTTATATTACGCATCTCAATTTGCTATGTATTTTTCTCCGTCCCAAGTATCATTTTAGTTTCATTCATGGTAATTATTTTAAAAAAATTGGTTACATTTGTAGAAAAAATATTTTTCTAGTTTTGTATGTGGATGATATCTTGCTCGCTAGCAGTGATGTTAGTCTACTACTAGAAACAAAGAAGTTCTTGTCCTCAAAGTTTGATATGAAAATTTCGGTGAAGCTTCGTTCGTCCTAGAAATAGAGATTCACCGAGATAGAGAAAATGAGGTTTTAGAATTATCACAAAAGACATACTTTGAAAAAGTTCTAAAAAAATACAGTATACAAAATTATAAGTCATCACCTGCTCCTCATAATCAAGGGCGACAGATATGGTGAATTTCAATGTCCTATGAACTAATATGAGATCGATCAAATGAAAGCGGTTCTATATAGTTCAGCTGTCGAAAGTTTACAGTATGCTCAAGTGTGTACTCGCCCTGACTTAACATTTGTTACCGAGTTGCTTGGCAGATATCAGAGTAATTCCGGAATAGAACACTGAAAATTAGTAAAGAAAGTTTTGCGTTACCTATAAGGTACACAGGGTCTCATGCTAACGTATAGAAAATCTGATTACATGCACATAGAGGGGTACACAGATTCTGATTATGCGGGAGATGAAAGAAAGTCCACGTCAGGATATATATTCACTCTCGCTGGAGGAGCTATATATCGTGAAAAAGCTCAAAGCAAATCGTCACTACATCGTCTATAATGTATGCTGAGTTTATAGCATGTTATGAGGCCACAGGGCAGGTGAATTGGCTAAAGAAATTCATGCCCAGGTTGAAAGTGGTAGACGACATACATAAACCACTTAAGTTATACTGCGATAATAATCCAGCAGTATGTTATGCTCACAATAAGAAGTCAAGTGGTGCTGCCAAACACATTGATATAAAGTATTATGTTGTGAAAGATAAAGTCCGGGATCATATAATTAGTCTTGAGCATATAAAAACAGAAAAGATGCTCGCAGATCCGCTTACAAAAATCTTACCACCCAGTGTGTTCAGAGAACACGCGGTCAGCATGGGTTTAAGGGAAAGCCTATGATTCCTAAACAATAAGGGTATAGTTAAGAATATGTTTCAAAACAGAGAGGTGCATTGTAACTGCTTAATCTAATGACAAGAGACCGTGACGATGAGGCATGCTCTATACACTGATTTGTGATGAAATTGTTACAAGAGAAAGTAAGTAAGTTAAGTTTAAATTATAAGTGAGATACGGCCTATTGGGCCGAGTGCCGGTCCTAGTATTTTAAGGACCCCCTAGCGATCTTGTCGCAATGGCCCCTCTTGAGCATGTATAAAATCTTATAATATATAGGCATTAATTTTACTTGCTAAATGAAAGCAAATTTAATAACATATTTTTAATTTAACATGTCTGATAATTATCGAGGAACAATATAGATTAAGCAATATATTTATAGATGTATGATAATTATCGAGGAACAATGTAGATTAAAAAATCAATATATTTGTGTTCTTTTCTCACCCATGACAAATGTTTTTAGGTAATATTCTAAAATTCTAACACCTAAATTAGAAGAAAAATATGACTATATGGGTGCAAAGTACTACAAGTCTAGAATACTATACAAATAATTAATTTGGATTAAAAATAAAAAGGAAAAAAATACCTTGAGCCTAAACAACTGATCGGTGATCGTAATTCGTAAGAAGCCAAGAATCAAGATGTCGTCGCCCCCTGCCTGATCGCCGCCCTCGTGCGTTGTGTCCGTGTCTCTGGTAGTTTAGCTCTTCGCGGCGGCGCGGCTCGCCAGCTCCGCGTGTGTAAGAAGCACGTCACGAACTCATGATCAGAGTATGTTGTGTGCAGCGTGACTCCTCGCCTCCTTTCTACCCGAGGGTCGTGGGGAAAGAAAACTAAAAAAAATGCCGATGTTATCTTTTTGGACCGCTTGGCCAGCTCTATGTCTCTCTTCTTTTAGTTTGCTAATGCCTAATGGACTATAGGACCTGGGGGTTTGTATACCTGGGCTTGGGCCCCTCCTCCGCTTGGGCCCTCGGCCATCACACCTCGTGTCCTACCCCTAGGGCCGGCACTGATTGGGCCCTTGAATCTGCGCCCTGATAGGGGGCGTCCAACTCTAATATGGTTGGTGGGCCCCATCGCACAGTGTCATAAATAGGAGGTGGGGGCAGGCGCTCGAGTCACGAGGTTCGTCTGAGCCGCCCAGCACCCCACCTATAGTCCTAAAGCCTATCCGATCATAGAGGGGCGCTGCCAGCGACGGAAAACGCCGCCACCGCCTCTGCATCACGCCGGAGGACTGCTATGACGCCGGGCTTCCCTACGGCGTCTACACGACCCCGGACAACACCGCTACTGCACTGCCACCGGGTTATCGCCAAGCATTGTGATGGCAAGCCCATCTCCCTCCAAGGCAGCTGATGGTTTGCACCCTTCACCCCTCTCTGTCTCTCGTTCTATCTACTGTTATTGCACTAGTAGATATTATAGGACTCACGATTTTATTCAATTGTAAGTAGACATGCTAGTTCTATGTTTAGAGATCTTGCTTTAGGTTTAACAACTTGTACTTCTCAGCAAGCCAGGCGAACAAGCTGGTGGAGTGGTTGGCAGCTCAGTCGCACCCAAGAAGGCCACAGTTGTCGCACCTGCCCTTGGCAATCTCTGAGGAAGCAGTGCCGGCCCTAGGAGCCGAGGGCCCAAGCGGAGGAGGGGCCCAAGCCCAGGTATACAAACCCCCAAGTCCTATAGTCTATAAGACATTAGCAAACTAATAAGAAGAGAGACATAGAACTGGCCAGGCGGCCTCAAAAAGACAACATGGACAATTTTTTTCCTAGTTTTCTTTCCCCACGGCCTTCGGGTAGAGAGGAGGCGAGGAGTCACGCTGCACACAACACACTCTGATCGTGAGTTCGGGACGTGCGCCTTACACACACGGAGCTGGCGAGCGCGCCGCCGCGAAGAGCTAGACTACTGGAGACACGGACACGGCGCACGAGGATGGCGACCAGGCAGGGCTCCACGACGACGATATCTTGATTCTTGACTTCTTATGAATTGTGATCACCGATCAGTTGTTTAGGCCCAAGGTATTTTTTTTCCTTTTTATTTTTAATCTAAATTAATTATTTGTATAGTATTCCAGACTGCTCGTACTTTGTATCTATATAGTCATATTTTTCTTCTAATTTATGTGTTAGAATTTTAGAATGTTACCTAAGAAACATTTGTCATAGGTGAGAAAAGAAAACGAATATATTATTTTTTTAATCTACATTGTTCCTCAATAATTATCATACATCTACAAATATATTATTTAATCTACATTGTTCCTCGATAATTATCAGACATGTTAAATTAAAAATATGTTATTGAATTTGCTTTCGTTTTGCAAGTAAAATTAGTGCCTACATATTATAAGATTTTATATATGGTCAAGAGGGACCGTTGCGACGAGATCGCCAGAGGGCCCTTGAAATCCTAGACCGGCACTGTGAGGAAGAACAGTTCCTCGTTTTTGTTGCTAATCTTGAACGGCTTACGGCCCAATGCCTAGGTCGGAGGAGGCATTGACAAAATTGTCGACGTCGCAAGTGTCATACGACGGGTCCACTTCTTTGAAGGAGCTGTTCTCGTAGAAGATATCCATGACCTGGTAATACGTTGCCCTTGTCGCACGCGACCACGAAAGCCCGGTAGCCGCACTCCGGCGGATGAGTGCCGGCGAGCCAGAACGGGTAGGCGATGGTGAGGTTCTCGCACAACGCACCGTCGACATGTTTACGGCGGCGACAGCGGGGGGAGTGGCTAGCAGAGCGAGGAGCAGTAGCATGGTTGGGCAGAGCAGGCCAGCGGCGGGAACAGGACATGCATGCATCTTTGCGTTGCGACTTCCACACAAGAGAAAACACTACGGGGTGAGGGAGCAGTCGTAGTTTGAGAGCAGTCGTAGTTTGAGAACAACTGTCACAGAGGAAGGAGGTGGTGCATTGCACTGGAAGGCGCGAGGATGTTGACGATGGCGCAGACCCGCGGTCTTCGTCTCCTAGTTCACCGCCACTACAGTTATTAGTCTGCAATTCTGCATGGCATCTTCCGGAACGTCCTCCTTCTTCCAGCCTGCTTGTACGCGTACATCATAGATGAAGTGACTTGTGGACCCGTCAGAGGCCCAGAACAGAAGCACAGGAACGGAAGGTGTGCCAGCTTGCCTACACGCGTTGACGCAGCGCAGCTCGCACCGTCGGCGACTCCAAACGGAACCCGTTACATATCGCATGCATGGAGACACCGTGGCGCGTGAGCAGTGAGCACAATGGCGCAAAGGCGGGGATGCCTCCGCAGTACAACATGAACGGGTACATGATGTTCAAGACCCTCGCGTCGCGTCTTGCCGATTTGCTGGTTCCGTAGGATGTGGCCTGTGGCTCGGTATGTCTAAGTGAAGTGCAACAATGGAGCTAATAATACGACTCAGCACAAGACTTCCAAAGTCATGGACGGATGCAAAAGGAGTTTTGAACAGCTTCAGTTATTTGCTTGTTGTCTGTGCGAATGCTGATCAGTGCACTGATGAAAATGACATGCTGGTCAAATGGCAGCATTTAAGTGTCGTGTTTATTCGTCTTTGAAATAAAAACGAAGTGTAGTGTTCGTCGAGCGCCCACAAACACATGGACAATTCCAGACTCCTCTGTTCAGCAAGCGGAGAGGACTAGCTCGATGCGGCAGCGCCACACTCCCTATCGCCTGGGTGATCTGTCCAACTTTCTGAAAACAACACCTTTGCTAGGCACTCAAGAAGTTATGTCCACCGGAACGTGCGGAGCGCAGACCATTTCGACAATGCGTGGAAAATTTGTCAGACAGATTGGGCCATCACAGGCCCTCAGCCCTCAAGCCTACGAGTAGCATCGAGCTGCTGTTGTTGCTGTCTCACCGCGGCGATGTACAGCAGCTGTCGTGATTGTGGCTGCTGCCATCTTCATACAGTAACTCCATCGACCATTGTCTAGAGTTGTCTACAACATGTAATTCATTGATGAATACTTATTCAGTTACTTGATTCCAGTGCAGATGCCGATGCGGTTAGTGTTTTGGGGGAGATTACGGGCGATGGACGACTATAGGGCCATAGGGGGGTGGTGCATAAGTGAAAGAAAGAGTGACAAACTGCTATTAAGAGGATATCAAGGGTTTGCTTGGTTTACAGGCAAGAGAGATTTGCCTTGCCTTGCCCCTCTGGCATAAGCAACAAGAAGCTTGCCAAGCCAGGAGAACCATTTTGGCTCTCTCATGGAAGCAAGGTAAAAGCTTGCTCACACAGGCCCCAAGATAACCTTGCTTGGTATCCAGACAGCCACTTTGATCTATATCCTTGCTTTTCAAGGCTATATAGTGATGAGCAAGAAAACCAAGGAGCCCCCAAATATCTTATGCATACTTCGACAATACGACTCTACCTCTTAAAGCCTTAATCTTTATCACTTCAAATGAAAGATATCATAGTAGACCAGTAGCCTTTTGTTTCAAAACAAATATCATATTAGTAGACCAGCTGCCTCTTCTATTAATATAAATTCGGCAACCTCTTGCCGCCTTTCGAAACAAGCCTCTGTCATAGAGATATCTACACAAGTTTAATGCCAAATTCCACTAGTAGGTAACCGTTTCATAGAGTTGGTAACCGTTGTAAGATTTTTGAATGCACAACGCTTATCTCCTTCATCTTTAGCAGTTCACTAGAAACTTGTGTTTTCGTACCACTAATAATCATGCTCGAACTTTCTGCATTCAAACTGCAAGCTGGATCGTTGCTGCAAAAGAATGAAAAAAATATTGTTATATCAACATTGTTGTAAATGATACTGAATGATTGTTGAAATACATATGTGTCTCAGATAATATCTTACAATATTTGACTGAAGTTTTGCCTTGGTGGCATGTCCAGTTCATCTAAACCTCTCTCGAACATTTCCAAGACCTTTCCTATGGTAGGACGATGCATTGGTAATATTTGAATGCACCATAGGCCAATCACACTCATTTTTCTGGCGATTTCTTCGTTTTCACGTGTTATTTCACATGTCTTTAATCCATCCTCTTGACCAAAGTGGTCATAAATCCAATGTGGAAAATACTTTTCACTTGACTCTTGAGCCACTGATTTAACATTTTTTCGGCCTCCAACCATCTCTAGCAACATCATTCCATAACTATAAACATCTGATTTTGTTGAAACAACTCCGAAGGTTCGAGAGTGCACTTCAGGAGCTATAAACCCAGGTGTACCTCTAGCACCAGTCATAGAAAGCATGCTCTCCTTGGTACGACATAACTTGGCCAAACCAAAATCAGCAATCTTTGGGTGCAAGTTCTGATCCAGAAGGATATTTTGAGGCTTGATATCGAAATGGACTATGCGTGTATTACAACTATGGTGCAAGTATTCCAACCCTCGAGCAATCCCAATTGCTATGGTATAGAGCTTGTCACATCCTAAAACTGCCTTGGGATTCTCTGAGTATATGTACTTATCCAAAGAACCATTTGGCATATACTCATATATTAGGGCCCGCTTTGAGCCTTCCAAACAAAACCCAAATAAGCTAACAATATTAATGTGTGATGTCCTGCCAATACTCATAACCTCGTTAACAAACTCCTCGCCATCACCTTTGGAGTCATGCAGCAATTTCACCGCAACTAGACGACCGTCATCTAACCTTCCTTTGAAAACCATGCCATAACCACCTTCCCCAAGCTTATTATTAAGGGAGGATGTTATCTTTGTTACTTCTGAGTACTTGTATCTTTTTGGAGCAAGTGATCCATGTGCTAATATTAGGGCCTCAATGTTCTCTTCTATGGTGTTGCTAGTCTTCTTGCATAGGAAAAACCTTAGTTTTTGCCTATGCCATACCAACACATATATACATGGTAGGAGCAAGCTTGCAGCTACTGAAATTGAAACTGAAATAAAAGTATATGTTATTTTCTTCTCACAAAACAATGAGGTGTTATAATATGAGCATTCAGATTTAGAGGCTATAAACAATTTAAATTGTAAATTTGAAAATAAATTACAGTGATCTAATATTTTGCTCCAAATCCTATAGTTTTATATTGAAAGCTATAAATTTTGGGTTGATTGTTCGAATTTTTTTCATTATAGTATCTGTGTGGAAAATATATATATGTAAAAAAATTTATAGTAGTTCTTCTAAGCTCTTCCAAGTTCCAATAACTGAAACTAAAAATTAACTTATTGCTTTAAATAACTATATATAACTACTGTAATTTGAATTATCAGTTACGGAGTATGAAAGAATGTCAAAAAAAACAAGAGCTTTCTGAGTGATGCCGTTCTATTTTATCCCATTTGACACAAAATGGCTCCAAACAACTTCTGAAGCTGGTGGAGAAACCGCACCAAACGGAGCCTATATGCCACTAGTAGTAGCATGACCATATTTGCCAACCAAATGGCAACCGCCGAATTGACATTTGAATCATGTTACTGGTAAAAGAATGCAACTATGCTAACTATGCCGGTTAAATAAGCTCAAGTTGGACTAAGTTTATAGTAAATAACATTAGTATTTATATCTCTAAATAAATTTATTATGAAAATATATTCTATGACTAATCTAATGGTACTTATTTTGTATAAAAAATGTTTGTACTTTTTATATAAAGTTAGTCGAAGTTTAGACTGTCTGACTCATCGAAATCCGAGAATTATTCTTTTGTGGCCGGAGGTAGTACTGTGGAATAGAACGAGGGACGGCAGGACGGGACAGATATTATGATGGCGACTTTGACAAGGGGAGAAAGGACGGTGGCGGTCAGGTTCGTAGTCCACGCGCTCCAAGCATTTGATTAGTCTCGTTTTCCTTTTCCTCTCTTTCTAAATTTCTTTACGCATGTTTCGCTAAGCCCCCTATCAAATCAGCGGATAATAGTGTGACAGCATTAGCAATATGTGTAACCAATTGATCCTAGATATTCTGCCACATAAGATGCTAAAAGGTCCCGGTAGTGCAGGAAATGAGACCCAATATAATAGATAGAAAACGCAGCTTCAGGGTTGATACTCACCAATTCCGACTACCTTTTTGGTGTTGCTTCCTCCTGCATAAGAATAGTAACTATGAATAACTTGCTGATTTAAATGTAATATTTTTCAGAATAAATTAGTCTGTAGCCTTTCATGGCTGGCAGTTAAGATATGGCAGTATATATGAGCAGAATAAAGCCTGATAGAAGATGAAAAGAAACCGTCCAGGGAAAAAGAGATGTATGAATAAACACAGAGATGTTTGTCAGCACTTGATGTCTATCAATAGTGACCATTTTGCATCTCTGTGTAGCATGACAACATAAGCCTGTATGGCTACACGACATAGATGTACTTACAGATATTAAATAGGTATATATATTCATGATAAACCTGCAAATTTGCAATGTCATATAGCCAAAATCGAACATGATGTCGTCCTGGAGACAAGGCCACACTCTTTTGGTGCCTACAGACAATTTTTTTCCTACTAAATATTCACGTGATCCCATCACCTTTCCCCCCATTCGGCCATTCCATATAGAATGGCCAATCACCAGAGCAGGATATAAATTGATGCATTGAAATCTCTCTATGATCTCCAGAAACATCATGCAAAAGCATAAGCCTGGCTATGTTACAACTTAAATCTTAACAAAGTGTCTAGGTGTAAATGATTATGTTAAGAAATTGAAGGTGTAAAGCTGAAAAAGACAGCACAAGAAAATACAGCAACTGCTGTATTTCAGATTCTCAATTGAAGGTGGTACCATAGCAAGAAACACCACTAAGTATCAGCTTGTTAGAAGTAAAATAAATATTAATGTTGACTTCTAGACCACGGTGATGACATAAAAATTGTCTGACCATATAGATTATGTGGTTTTTGTAACTGCTGAAAACAGGAACAGCATCTGTTAAGAAAAAATTACAGAGAAGACAAAAAAACATGATTGAAGCACACCTGGGACAGCTAGACAGGTTAAATTAGGATGGACAAGAGTAACCCAGTGCCTTGTTTGAAACTTTCTTGCATTGTTATTGGTTACCATTGACTTTGACTTTGACTTTGTCCAAAGATTTATAAAATTCCTTAGTCATGATTGCTGGCCCAAACTATCTATATATTTACCAGCAAATGGCAGAAAAGTTAAAATGGGGGATGACTAGAGGGTAAACTTTCTGACCTTGAAACAACCTAAAAGGTTAAAGCAGTACTGCAACCATAAATCCATGGGGAAACACTGTTAAGATGAGCATGGGAGGGTCTTGGGATCAATCTAGTTTCAAATTATAAGCCAAGGTCTTGATATCACCAGCCAGTGATTCCTAGGTTCTCTACATAGAACCAAAGATGCAGTTTGATAAGAGTTAGAAAAATAGCCCTCAGAAATTCGTAGCTAGAAAGTAAGCAAATCCTTACGCAAACTGACTCTGCACAGAAGCCAGAAAACAAAGAGTCCTGGTGGAAGAAAATGCATAGACATGTCATGCTCACAAAAGGTATGCAGGAGCAATATGATGCAACGAGGAAACATAAAAAATGACAATCAAAATAAAAAAAACACCAAGTAATCTTGTGAATATCAAATCAATCATATTTGTGTCGAAGCCATGCAGATTACAGCACTCCTGTGCAGTTGAAATCTGACAATCACATCACATGGGTATGATTGCCCCCCATATAAATTCACTGCGGTGTGTTCTTATCAACTTTAGAAGCTTGATTCCACAACAGATCAATTCAATTGTTTAAAAAAAAAGGGCAGACCTAGTGCCGGAGGCTCCCACATGAGTGGGGTCTGGGAAAGAAATAAACCGAGACATGCCTTTCCCCTGCAAAATCTACGGAGAGGTTGCTTCGAACCCACGACCTGTTGACTCAGTGAGACAGCTCTCACCACTACACCAGGCCTGCCCTTCTATCAATTCAATTGTTTGCTTAGAAAAAAATATAGTGCATTGGTTAGCAGACATTAGAACAGTTCGCTAGTCAGCTATCACTAGTAGAAGAAAAATAGGGATAAGGGCCATTGGTACGGCATCTTTTTCAAATAGTGTAGTTGAATACTTCTACCCATGTGTTTTGACTATAATACAGTGGGCCTCAATGTCCCAATCAATGGAATAACTGACACTAATCAACCAAAAGATAATTTGCCGTTGAAGCAGACTGTCCACGTAAAAGCGGGACAAACTTTTTTCCAATCAACATTGTATATTCCATGTAGCAGTGATCACGCTAAACTGTATGAAGACGACCTGTTGTTAGTTTCAATTAGTACGGATAGCGACTTTATGTCATTGGCAGGACTGTATTTGGGACCCAAATGGACACTACAGAATCATTGAATCCTTTGCATAGTTGCATTGCATGACCTAAGAACTACTGGTTTTGTTCGAGAAAAAGAACTACAGGTAAAGTGGTAATTGACTACTAGGAGAGCAGGAGTAAAGCAATCCTCTGTTAATTGTGCTTGAGCTTCTCTGATTTTTCAGTCCCCCTTTTCTTTATGTGTGTGTGTGTTTTGTGTATGTGTATTGCCTCGGACCTGTTCGCTTCTCTGAAATTTGGCTTATGCTGATGGTTATGCTGATTTGTTGTGAGGAAAAAATAATGTTCATTCGCTAAAAAGTACTGCTGAAGTAGTTTCTCGGGTCTCTTTGTACTATTTGGGATAGGCCAACTTGACTCCTTCCAGGTTAGCAAACAAATTTCTGTTTTTGCAACAAAAAAAAAGGTCGAAATTGATGTGCGTTTTTAATTTCCTGAACTCACCGCACTTGTCACCGGAGCAATCACAGGCGATGAGGCTTTTGTTCTAGGCTTCTAGCGTAGTACAGAGTACTAGGTGACGTCCAGTCCCCTGGAGGTTCGAAGAATCTGTATAGAGTATAGAGCAAACGCGTGCATTTTGCTCTTCCTGGGCTGATAAGTTAAGAGTGAAGTTCGCTTACCTGACGGCGGCGGCATCCACTGCCATGTCGCGAGGAAGCCGTCCCAGACGAGTTGCTGGTAGTTGCTAGCGTTCACCTTGCCAGATACTCCAAGCACTGGCACCATGGCAACGGTGCAGCCTTCCAAAAAGTAGCTGCCGGCTGACTCGTCGGAACGCCCATCGGCGGCACGAACAAACGTGTTGGTGTGGCACACCGTCTCCACGAGGTCCACACCACCTGGCGACGGCGGCTTGGTGCAATTGTAGAAGATGAGGTTCTGATTGACGGGACTAACCGAGAGCGGAGGAACCAGTACGGAGGAGGTGTTAGCCGCCGGGATTCGGCAGCCGTCGTGGCTAGACAAATCAAAATATGGCTGCACGAGTGGTCTATCGGCGATGAGCAAGGAGCGGTTGTGGTAAAAGATTCTGAGGATCTGCAAGATGACCTCGCTCTGATAGTATCCGAGGCGTGGTGGGTGGTTGTTACGGCAACGAACCTGGAACCCAATCCCGCCGCCGCAGTTGGTCTGCTTGGCGCCCTGCGGGATGAGCCCAAACGGGAAGGAGATGGTCACGTTGCCGCATAGCTTGGGCGGGCAGTGCTCTCCTCCTTGCCCATCTGCTGCCGCCGCAGGCATCATCCGTGGTAAGGATAAGACCACCCACACCAACGAGACTAGGAAGAGCAAAAACAAGGACGGAGCCATAGGAGCAAGAGAAGGTTATCGCTTCTCGGCGACGGGAGTTGCTTGACGAACAGAAGATCCGCTCTAGAAGAATACAGGCATGGCGATCGACCATACACTGCGGTAAAGCGAGTCCGCGTGCCCTGTATAAGTGTATAGACTGTGTACATTCGCGGGCCATTCATCGGGCTTGGGAATTTCCGAGTTGCCCGATGGACGGGGCAATATTGCGACGACTGTCGCGAGTCACTGGCGTGGTGACCGGAACAGAATGCTTGGGCTTGGCCGGTGACGACTAACAGGGGACCTTTTTTTTTTTTGAGAAAATTCCTTGGTTGCCACTTAAAATTATAACCATCCCTTCGTTGCCATTGAAAAAATGATATTTCCTTCATTGCCATTGATTTATGCTTTCCTTTCCCTTGGCTGCCATTCTGTCAATTTCATGCATAACGACGTTTGAAAGAGCTTTGCCGGCCTCAGCTTCTGGACCGTCAGCATCGATGTCAAGCTGGCCGTGTAGCTCGACGTCAGGATCAGGACGGCGAACACCCATATGACCATCAGGAACTTGGATAGGTTGCTCACCACATTCTCCCCTGCACACCATCACCACCTTGAGAGACTGATCAGTTTAACAGTTTTCTTGGTGGCGGAAGGAGAGCTAGCTTAGCTTACTGTGCGCGAAGATGAGGGTAGAGAAGGCGTAGTGGAAGATGATGCCGAACTGCTGCAGCGGCGTGCCTCGGAACTCGGGGTTGATCCGGTGCTCGATCACCCAGTTGACAAAGCCGGTGAAGATGAAGGCGGCGAGGCTGGCGAGCCAGAGCCCAGGCGTGAGCGGCTTGAGGAAGAAGAACATGCACGTGGCCTCCTGCGCCTGCACCGCCACGACCATGGACCACCCCGATTCGGTGAACGGCATGGTGAAGTCCGCCTCCGCCATCCTGCCCACGGTGATGGACACATCGCCGACGACCGCATGGGCTTTCTCCTCGGGAATCAAGTCTATCATCTGGTCGTAAGAGGATGAACTCGCATTGCCGATGCCGTAGTAGGGCACGTACTGGTAGTACACCGGGTAGGGCAGTGCCTTGATGGCCGCTTCGAACACGTCGATGCTGTAGCCGGAGACTATCGTCCTGCCGCTCGTTGTGTCGTTGTACACCTGCATGAACTGCTGGAACCCGTGCTTCACCGGCACGGCGATGACCAGCGCCCGCTCGACCGGCGAGAAAGCCCACCCGTCCGGAATTCGCATGTCAGATTCTTCCACGCCAGGAAATTGACTTTCTTCAAGCCTTCACCGCTGTCGGTGGCGAACTCCTGTGAGATCCCAGTCTTTGTGGTCAAAAGCCCACCGTCTTGAGCCCGTCTGCGGCGAAGTTCACGATCTAAATGCGCGCGGCGTCTGCGATTGCCCGTCCGACAGCCTGAACTTCCCGGCCAGCCCGTCGAATGTCGTGTTGCGCACAGCCTTGAGCAAGTTCTCGCCGGTGGCGAACACGCGAAAGCTGGTCCAGCTCCATCAGCCTCGTCCCTCCTTTCGGTGGCACGAAATCCGAGCCGAAGATCCCGGCCGCCTCAAGCGCGCATGGCGACCGCGACCGCCGTGTCGACGCCTTGAACGTCGGCGTGGTCGGCTCCGTGGTGTCCTAAGAGCCATTGTTCTCTGGCGAAACCTTGCCTGAACCGTTTGGCAAAGTCACCGGCTGGCTCGTGGGCGGCACGCATCGCCGACGCCGACCACGCCCGCATCGCGTCGGTGTCTCGCGCCTAGCGCGTCGTCGCGATCGCCTCGGTGTCGCGCCATGCTGCGGCTGTGGCGATCGAGCGTAGCCTTCGGACTAATGTCGGAGTTCTTGGCCCTGTAGAAACAGCCCCGCAGCGCCAGGGAAATGACATGCACAGCGAAGACGCGAGCCGTCATCGACGACGGCGCGATATAGCACCTTGTGCCGAGGCGGTCGTCGGACGCGGTCGGCCGGCCGCTGGCGTGATGCGCCATGGTGGCGCAGCGCGCGCCCGAGAGCGTCGGAGAGCGCGGGGCGATGCTGGGCGCCAAGCGCGAAGTCCTGTGTGCAGCAGACGCCGCAGCGCCGATGGAAGTTCTCCGGGACGCCCGCGATGGGCGCGCGCTCGCTGAGGAGTCGTCGCGCGCCGTGGCCACGGAGAAGCGCGTGGTCCGCGTCGTGGGGACCGCGAGAGAAGGACATGACGGGAACGTGGGCGCGGTCACCAATGCGCCACGAACTCGGCCTCGTGCCGTCCGCAATAACCGTCGATAATGGCTGCGCGCTTGGCGTTCTTGATCAGGTCCACCGCTGCATTGCAAGCGACAGGTCGATCATGGTCATCTCTGGGGTTATAGAGTGTCGGCGGTTGCCAGAGACTGCCGTGACGGCGAGCTCAGCAAAGCTCCTCCAAACGTCGTTACGCATGAAATTGACGCAATGGCAGCCAAGGGAAAGGAAAGCATAAATCAATGGCAATGAAGAGAAGATCATTTTTTCAATGGCAATGAAGGGATAGTTATAATTTTCAGTGGCAATCAAGGAATTTTCTCTTTTTTTTTAAAGAGGAGAGACAAGGGGACTTGTTAACAGAAGCCGTCAGACCGGAAGCACTGGAATGATTGTTTTATAATAAGGGAGGATGTTAATACCATAACCACCTTCCCCAAGCACTGTAATATAAAACTATATTTTACTCCAAATCCTATAGTTTTATATTGAAAGCTATAATTTTTGGGTTGATTGTTCGAATTTTTTTCATTATAGTATCTGTGTGCAAAATATATATATGTAAACATTTTTATAGTAGTTCTTCTAAGCTCTTCCAAGTTCCAATAACTGAAACTAAAAATTAACTTATTGCTTTAAATAACTATATATAACTACTGTAATTTGAATTATCAGTTACGGAGTATGAAAGAATGTCAAAAAAAAACAAGAGCTTTCTGAGTGGATGCGAGCTTCTGAAGCTGGTGGAAAAACCGCAGCAAACGGAGCCTATATGTCACTAGTAGTAGTAGGACCATACTTGCCAACCAAATGGCTACCGCCTAATTGACATTTGAATCATGTTACTGGTAAAAGAATGCAACTATGCTAACTATGCCGGTCAAATGAGCTTAAATTTGACTGAGTTTATAGTAAATAACATTAGCATTTATATCTCTAAATAAATTGACTACTAGGAGAGTAGGAGTAAAGCAATCCTCTGTTAATTGTGCTTGAACTCTGATTTTTCAGTCCCCCTCTTTGTACTATTTGGGATAGGCCAACTTAACTCCTACTTCCAGATTAGCAGACTAATGCTATTTCCAACAAAGAAAGACTAGGCGAAATTGCTGGGCGTTTTTAATTTCCTGAACTCACCGCACTTGTCACCGGAGCAATCACAGGCGAACTTCGTGCCGTCGTCGCCCCCGTAAGTGCATTCCCCGCCGCTTGACATGCACTTGGGGCAATCGTCTGGCACCGCTCTCCACTCCACGAGAAACCCATTCTTCATGTTGGCGATGTAGTGGTCCCCATTTTCATCGGGAGACCCGAGAAACGGCGCGACAGTGAAGAGGCAGCCCAGCGGGATCCCTCCCTGGATGACGTGGCTGGAGAAATTCTGGCCGTCGCCGAGCCGGACAAAGGAACTGTTGTCGCAAGGCAGGCTGTGAAACCCAGCTGACTCCGCCGGTGGAAACCCCGTGCACTTCCCAAGAAAGAGCAGCTCTTTGTTGATCTTGCTGAAGACGAATGTCCTGGGCAACAAGATCGAGATGTTCATCGTTGGGGCTGGGCAGCCGGTGACGAGCGGGAGGTTGTGGTCCACCACATGGAAGGAGTTGTTGTTGGGGAAGATGCTGAGCACCTGATACGCCTGGTAGACGGATTTAGTCAAGAAAGCGCCGCTGCTGTTGCACTTGAGCTGGAAGGACGGTGGTCCGCACGGCGGCTTGCCGGGCTCCTCCAACCAGAACGGGTAGGTGATGTTGTGGTCCCCGCATGCCTTGGGCCAGCAGCCTGACGACTCTGCCGCGCTGGCCGCCGGCGGCGGGAGGAGGAAGGAAGCGAGTAGCAGGAGGAGTGGTTGCATAGCGGTCAGCGGCAGAGTGGCTTGGATTTCGGAGTCCGGACCCGAACAGTGAACAGGGAAAAATGGAATGGAAGGAGGACGGCCGGACGGGACGGATATGATGATGCTGAGGGAGAAGAGGCCGAATTTTTTTATTTTTTTTAGCCCTTTTATAAAAAAAATTTATAAATATACCTCCGAAGGTAATATTTTAAAATCTAGACCTTTAACTCGGCGCCGAGCTTACACGTCTCGGCGCTATTGTTGCTGACGTTGAGCTCTTGGATTCGACGCAGATGTGGCGGTGACATGGCAGACAGCTCGACGTCGTAGATCTTGACGCCGAGATCGGCGCCGTTCTCGCTAACGCCAAGCCTGTCTCATTGGCGCCAAGACTCGAGTCCGATGCCGATGCGGCAATGCTCCAACTTCCTACACTTGTTCGAGTAGTTGTACGTATTGCCCGTTCGCCTCAAAACCGCAGCAAAAAAGACACGAAGAATCCGTCGAGTCGGGCTCGAGATGGATGAGAGAGCATCCAAGAGCTCCTTCATCAGACAACGACTGACGACCCCCTGCTGACTGACAGTGGCTTCGCTTTCGCATCAGAATAACTAAGCTTAGTTCCACCTCAATTTCCAAAAAATTGCTACAGTACCTGTCACATCGAATGTTTGCGGCTCGTGCATGGAGCATTAAATGTAGACGAAAAGAAAAACTAATTGCACAGTTTGGTGGGAAATTGCGAGACGAACGTTTTAAGCCTAATTAGTCCATGTTTGAACACTATTTGCCAAATAAAAACGAAAGTGCTACAGTAGCTCCAAAATCTAAATTTCGTGAACTAAACAAGGGCCAATCCGATCTTTGTTAAATCTGCACGGCTGGCCCTGAACCAACCTTCCAACTCAACTCACGTACTACTCGTAACCTTTTCTCGTTTTATCTTATCCAGCAGCTCTGACCTCCGAGCCTCTGAGCCTCTCTGCTCTGACAGCGCGTGACAGGTTTTATCAACAAGGGAATGCCGTTCCGATTCCCCATCGACCGAACCAACCAACCAACCGAGCTGGGCAGCTGGTTTACCGTCGTCGGGGCGCACATGAGCGCGAGAGCTTGCCTCCGGCAGCGCTGCCCCTCCGGTGTCGGCCCGTTCGCGAGCAGCGACGCGCTGGCGCTAGATTCTGTCCTACGCGCACCCAACAGCGGGAACCATTCTTCTGAAATGTTTCAGTCGGGACGTGGTGAATTAGGGATAGTTTAATCATCATATGAAGAGACAAATGCGGGTGTTTGCGATAATCTGATGGGGGTCTCGTCTGACCGCAAGCCTGGCACGGGCTCGGGAGATGCATGTCTGGTCACCGATCGGGTGCAGCGCACCGAGCTACAGCAGGGCGGCTGATTGATTTATTCCGTTTGGAGCGAGAGATGGGCAAATGGGCTCGTGAACCTCTTCTGTCTGCTTAAACTAACCCCGGGGTGTCAGAATCAGTACCCAGGACACAAAATGCAGTAGCGTACTACTCCGGTCTCCTCCAGCGGAGCGTAACATTTTAAACGTTGATTGCCAGTTGGGTGTCCAGTGTTGTTGTTGGACGATTTTGTTAGTTGATCTCCACCAATAGGTCCAACGGTCTATTAGACCCTTGCCTCTGCTCCCTGATCGGGGGAGCCCAACCCTAACTGGTTGGTGGGCCCCTGTCGCACAGCACATATATACAGAGGAGTGGGGAACTAGGCTCGAGTCACGAGGTTGAACGGAGCCGCCATCCCACTCACAGAAACCCTAAACCGATCTAAAGACCGTGCTGCCAGCGACGGGATGTGCCCCACCACCACCGTCGCGCCTGCAGGGTCTACACCGACCCCTCTGGACCACCACTGTACCTCGCCACCGAGCCGGAGCTGCCTCGACACCGGTGTCCGTGAGGTCACGACGCTATTGTCCAGGGCAGATCTACGGGTTACACATAGAGGTACCAATCCTACGATTCTAACAATGGTACCAGAGCCGATTGCCTCTGTGTAATCCTAACCCTAACCGGGTAAAAGCAAAGAAAAGGGACCGGGGGTGGCGGATGTCACTGGAACCCGGTCACAATAGCCACCGCGCGGGGGAAGAAGAGCACCGCCGTCCTCACCGGCGCGCAACAAGAAAAGAACAGATCCTTGTTCGGATCAGAG